CGACGCGAACCAAGGAGCGGAACGGCGCCAACCATTGCTGCCTGTCGACCGACACGCCACACCTGAGTCTGACGTCTACGTGATAGGCCGTCGTCTGGTCTCAACAGGAAGTGCCCCGGCTGAAGCAGACGCCCAGAGTCTACAAGAACTGGAAGTCGTGCCTGATGTGACCCTCAAAGGACTGTTTTTTTCCGTTTTTTCAAACAAGCCCCGCCACAGTCGAGAATTTCGGAGACAGAAAAGCACCTACAATGAAGGAGGGAGAAGATCTGAAGCCCAAGATGTCTGTCGGGCAATGGGGAAAGCAAAAGACAAGGGTGAAACCGAAGCGAGAGCGAAGGAGAAAGCCAAAAAAGAAGAAACGAAGGCGAAGCCCAGGCGAAAGAAAAGCAAAATAAACTCGCAACCCAGTGCTGTGAGAACTATACAGCGAGGCGGAGAAATTGAAACTAACACCCAACAGCGGAAGAAACCGCACCAAAATACAGCGAAGAAAGAAAATAGAAGAAGACGAAGAAAACAGCCCAGGGACAAAAGGCGACTCGTAAGGAGGAGGGTGAGGTTGCAGAAGACCAAAAATCGGCGCCAACCATTGCTGCCTGTCGATTGACACGCCACACCTGAGTCTGACGTCTACATGATAGGCCGTCGTCTGGTCTCAACAGAAGTGCCCCGGCTGAAGCAGACGCCCAGAGTCTACAAGAACTGGAAGTCGTGCCTGATGTGACCCTCAAAGGACCGTTTTTTCCGTTTTTCAAACAAGCCCCGCCACATGTCGAGAATTTCGGAGACAGAAAAGCACCTACAATGAAGGAGGAGAAGATCTGAAGCCCAAGATGTCGTCGGAGCAATGGAAAGCAAAAAGACAAGGGTGAAACCGAAGCTGAGAGCGAAGGAAAGCCAAAAAAGAAGAACGAAGGCGAAGCCCAGGCGAAAGAAAAGCTAATAAACTCGCAACCCAGTGCTGTGAGAACATACAGCGAGGCGGAGAAATTGAAAGTAAACCCAACAGCGGAAGAAACCGCACGAAGATACAGCGAAGAAAAGAAAAATGAAGAAGACGAAGAAACAGCCCAGGGACAAAAGGCGACTCGTAAGGAGGAGGGTGAGGTTGCAGAAGACCAAAAATCGGCGCCAACCATTGCTGCCTGTCGATTGACACGCCACACCTGAGTCTGACGTCTACATGATAGGCCGTCGTCTGGTCTCAACAGGAAGTGCCCCGGCTGAAGCAGACGCCCAGAGTCTACAAGAACTGGAAGTCGTGCCTGATGTGACCCTCAAAGGACCGTTTTTTCCGTTTTTCAAACAAGCCCCGCCACATGTCGAGAATTTCGGAGACAGAAAAGCACCTACAATGAAGGAGGGAGAAGATCTGAAGCCCAAGATGTCTGTCGGAGCAATGGGAAAGCAAAAAGACAAGGGTGAAACCGAAGCTGAGAGCGAAGGAAAGCCAAAAAAGAAGAACGAAGGCGAAGCCCAGGCGAAAGAAAAGCAAATAAACTCGCAACCCAGTGCTGTGAGAACATACAGCGAGGCGGAGAAATTGAAAGTAAACCCAACAGCGGAAGAAACCGCACGAAGATACAGCGAAGAAAAGAAAAATGAAGAAGACGAAGAAACAGCCCAGGGACAAAAGGCGACTCGTAAGGAGGAGGGTGAGGTTGCAGAAGACCAAAAATCGAAAAACCAGCCGAGCCAAGACGACAAAACGAAAGACAAACCACTGAAAGAATCGGGAAAAAGTGCCGGAGAGCAGACACAAAGAAAGAGCGAACAGCCCTGGACCAACCCGAACGAAGATAGTGAACCGAAACAGCCGAAGCCAACAGAACCAGACTACACTAAGAACATTGGTGATGCCGGAGCAAATTCGAAGAAAGAACCGCCACAGACTGGCCAACAAAAGTCGATTCCCAAGCCTGACCAAGCTTCAAAGCCGCAGTTTAGATAAGAAGACACTGGCATCGTGCATGTTGTGGCTTTCTTCAAAGTCAAGCCAGTCAAGATGGCCGGAAGTTACGACATTCTCATGAAAGTTTCCCGCCACGAACAGGCGAACTTCTGCGTGCCGTGAAGAACTTAACGCGTCAGTGTATAGGCATAGCTAATTTCTTGTGTTATTGGTTTGTTTCTGTTTATTTTGTTTCTATCGTGTGGGAATCAAAAAGTAGTTTAACAGGATGGCCGAGCATTTGCATAAAAAAAGCACTTGGGTAACTTTGCCAAAAGCACCTGAATGAGGTTGTTAAGCTCTGCAGGATGGCCGAGTGTTGGAAATGCACGTGGCCTGAGGCAGCTAGTGAAGGAAGGGGATGACATGATGACGTTCGGAGAGACACACTTGCAGTGTATGGCCTGTGTGGTGTTTGTAGCCTGTGTGGCGTATCAGTTATAGCCTGTGTGGCGTGTGTTTATTACGTGTGAGTAAATTATTTCTTTTCTTACGAGGTTGAAGGTAACAGTAAGTATTATAGTATTGCCTCGCTTATACATTTCTCACTCATATGTTTGCTTACAAAAAACTTTTCTGTAGTCTGGTTCCAGCAAATAATTACAGACACTTATATATATTCAAATCCATTTTTTCGCACGTCTATCTCGAACTGCCTGGTACACTGAAACATGCTGCTTTGCTAGATTATCTGAGGATGTGCATCAATGAGCTTGGTGATGTGGACTGCTAATAGGCCATCCAAGTGCTCCAGAAAGAATATGGTTCTGGCAGAGCCTGTTGTACTCAAGGTTTACCTCCATGCCACCGCTGACGTCAGTTGTTTAGATGTTAAAGAGGCATCAGACGCAGGCTCCATTTGGTAGCGCTTGACTGAATCTTTGGGTTGAGGAACGGATGCTTGGAAGTTGAGAAAAAGAAAAGGAGCAAGTTTACTGACACCTTTTGTACACTTATTTACATAGTAAAATTGTAAAGATAAAGTGACAAGCGAACTGGATGAACTATTAACCCAGCGCCCAGAGCCTCTTCTTCCACTTTGCATCATCGTTTTAACCCTTCAGGCTGGCTTCTGCTTCTTGATTGAAACTAATCACGCACACGACACCACCCACCATGGCACCAGCCAAGAACACACTGTCAACCGATGGTTCATTGCGCTCACTGATGCAGAGTTCCTGTGACCAATGACACTCACCTGGCATCAACTGGGAAGACAAGTCGGTAGGCAAGTTGCTTCGTCTCTTGCCAGAAGCACAGGAAAGGGTTTATGATGACTTAATTGCTCTTGTCAAGGTATTTGAGACAGGTCGGCACAGTAGCAGGTCCAAACAAGTCAAAACGGTCCATTGTGGAGGTGATGCTAGCTTTGACTACGCTCTGCTGTTCATAGCAGCTCACAAGGTTCTCTTACCTTTGTGGGGCACTTCCCACTGCGTGTAGGCTGTTTCTGATAAGGGCCAAGGCGACTCGAGTTGTGGGAATGCATATCCTGTCCACTTCTCATAGACAACTCGTCGCCAGTGACGGTCAGTCATTGCAGGGCATGAAGGAAACACCAGACTTCTATCAAAAACTTCTTCTGAGCTAAAGTCCGATGCATTAGGTTGGTTTCATCATCTAGCAGCCCTTTTTTTTTTTTTTCAAATTTAAACTGTATATTTGCATTATAAGTTTCCCAACTAATGCCCTTTTTTTTTCATCCTGTAGTCCCATGAAATGTATATTAGAAAAGTTTTGTACTATAATCATTGTTATATTATTAATAATCAGTTGACTCTAGATCATTAAAACTGTAAATACTCAAACAACCAAATGAAGAAAAAGTACTTTTCTTGTAGATCAAGCATTCATCCAGTGCTAGTTGTCCTGTAACTTCGTCTCACAATGAAAGAAAAGCAGTAGAAGTTGTTTCTATACACTTGATCTAGGCAAAACTTTTGAAGTAGCACAATTTTTCTTGATCTCATTTGTCATTAGCCGAGACGAAACCTTGCATAAGCAAAGCTTCAGGCATTTTATTCTTCATAATAATCTACAATTTGACATCTTATGTGGTGTGTCCTCGGAAAGATCTGGATGGCTTGATTGTAGCCTTTCAGACAAGGATAGCAACAATGCACTATTTTTGCCCTAGAGCACCACATTTGAACAAAGTCATGCAAGATTTTTTTAACCTTGTCTGAAAACTATTCAAGCTCCTATAAACGTGGTATCTCAATATTATTGCTCTGCAGACAGTAGGGGATGAATGATTTCCTGTCAAATAGCCAAAATTTCTTCCTCTTTTCTTGGTAAACCACCAAACATATGGGCGTGATATCTATTGGCATACTATCTTAGAGGCTATTTCTCAAGTTGTGTGGGTACCATGGCTTTCCACAGGGTGCCTCCATTTGCCGGCAGTCCACATGTCTGATCTATATGTTGTGGGTAATGCTGTCAAAGAAAAAGAAATAGAAAAAATGCTCAATTCATACTTTCAGCAGTGCCACTTTAGGGTCGGATATTGCCCCTTGCCATCGTCTGCTGTGTTGCTTCCAGCACTCTTGTGGCAATAAAAGGAAAGAGTGGGCATGAATTTCATGAAATAACTTCGGTATGCTTGACAGTAGAAAAATATTGTCTGTCTGTGATAATGGTACCTCGGGGGACATTTCTGAGGTCCCATTTGCCATAATTCCTCATATCTTTTGGGTGCACTTCTTCAAGCTCTAAAGTAAGAGGGAAAGAGCGTGTGAATTCCCTGAGTATGCAGTACTATAGCTTAAAGCATACTTTCCGTTTATGTTCAGATTCAAGTACCTATAGATCATAGGTAAGATAACAAGTAGACACAAGAAAATGCAAATGTGTGGTGTTGTCAGCTAATAGTAGTATGTGAATTTGTTAGTGCGATCATGATGCTACTCGTTATACTCTGCAAGAAATATTCACTGAAGCATGTGAATGTTGTGACATGTGTACATGTTATCTTCACAAATTTTTTTTTAGGTAATGATGTGCAAGAGGCTGCAATGAACTTTCCTCTCTTTATCTTTTTCAGCCGCATTTGCAAGCAAGTTTACACCAAGGCAGTGCTGGCATACCCGAGATGTCAGAGGCTGAAGCATTACGTACGATTGCTGAGCAGCACAAGACCCTGCTGGCAGTGTTGCACCACCGCCAGAGGAATATAAAAATTGTTCTGGCCCAGTGGAGCAAGGATCCAAAGGTACGATTGGGTTGTTAATTGTAGAGAGAAGTTATTTGTAATGCAGGAAGGCATGAAGAAATGTTTACGGTTACTCAACCCTTCGGGTCTTTTTGTATTTTAAGAAATCTCATGAACTGCACTATGTCTCATTAAGAATTCCAATTAATATGCACCTTTGTGATGCTTGCACTCATCACTGACTCTCTTGGAATAAATTCTGGCGATGACTGTCCTTTTCAATGGTAGAAAAAAGCCTAATGGGATGCACAATAGAAGTAGATCTTTAGAGCTGATGCTCTCAAAATCTACTTAGGTGATTGAGAGAAGAGAAAGTGACTGCCCCCCCCCCCCCCCAATATAGGGGGCTGGTGCAAAGTCTAGCGCACACATTGACTTAAATCAAGAACCTTTGCCTCCCTCACTTAATGGGAACCCTGCACATGCTTATGCCCACAATTCGCAGGAGGGATGGTCACTTTAATAAATACAGTCGAACCCCGCTACAACGAACGCCACTTCAATAAAATTTCCGCTACAACGAAAAATTCACGGTTCCCCGTTCCCCGTCAGCAGTTCATAGGCGTCAATGCATAAATATTGCCGCCACAACGAACACTTTTTCTTCTGCCGTCCTGCTTCAACGAAATTTCACAATGCAATTTCACGGCGCATGTGGTGGGTAATTTGAAGTGTGCTAACATGACACGAACCACTAAAACGTGATTTTATTTCAAGATAAGCACTTGCTCGACACAAAATAACACTACGAGCTTTCTGAACCGCTATTTCAACGATCAACGTCGACTTAAAAGGGGACATGGGTTTTAGAAGGCCAAAAATTGCAAAAAAATCGACTTCTTGAAGTTGACATTTTCGGAATCTGTACCGATTTTCGCACATATCTGAGAAGTTTCTAGCTTTTTGCGTCATTATTTCTGGCGCAAGATCAATTTATAACATCTCTGTGAGATGAATGTGAGCACAAATTGACGCTAAAATTGCACCTTTTTCGTGCCAAACTGTTGCCGTTACACACGAGCTATCATGTTCATCTTGGTCTCGTTTGGAAGGGTCATTCTTGATATTCAATTTCCTGCCACCACGGGCTCGCCTTGCTCGTTGGTTTTTTAGCAAAAATGCGTCATCTACTAGCGCACACTTCTGTTGGCTGCTTGGGGCACGTGAGAAAACCTAGGCATCCGATTGGCCAAGTGGCGTTTCCGGCGTCTGCTTCACCATTGCCACGCGCGCAGGCATGCGTCATTTTGTCATGGTGCTGCTGTCTGCCTGCGGCTGTAAAGAAGTTCCGTGCTACAGTAATTTGTGAAGCGGGTGTGGCGATTATTCCTTCTCTGTGAACTTCAGAAAAAGTCGCGTTATGGCTCAGGACAACAAGGATAACGAACTCGCCGCGGTCAACGGCAGTCGCCGAGTCATCGGCGTAGGCCTAACTCGGGTACGAGCCCGTTAGTTGCCGACAACACTACTAAGAGCGGCTTTGTTTTGCAGCCTCATCAGTTAGGGGACGGCAAGTAAAAAGCAGAAGTGAAGCTACAAGAGATATCAATGTTTGTAGTGACAGAACAGAAGTGCAGTCTTATCGCTAAACGTGCCGATGCCGCGGTTCCCTCTGCCTGACGAAAGGACCTTGAATCGTGCGACGGGTCGTCTATGTGTAGCACGCCGCTCGTCGACGAACAACCGAAAGTCAATCTGTTCGCGGTGAACGTGCTCGCCGCCCATGCAATGGCGGCTATTGGCAACAAGTAGACTGCTTTTAACGACGCGTTCACAATGTTGTCGCGGTCTCTGCTCGAAAATGCGGCAGTCTCACGTGAAAATAAAACTTAACACCTCGGCACTCGTGTAGCCTCGAAATTGATGAGCGAGGGAACAAGTTTGGTTCGCGACATGTACAGGTAACTAATTCTTGACAAGCCAGAAAAGATCGCCGTGTAATTCAATGGATCGCGGATGACCCGTGCACATTCGTCGCACATCGCCGTCAGTACAGTTGTCGAACTGATAAGCAGCCTTGCGGCAGACGAACACACGGCGACAACTTGCTACATGACTAGAAGAAACGACATGCTCGTGCGAACAATCAGTCCTATTACTTTCCCGGTGCTTATTAACAGTCTAAAAGTATGTGTGCCATGATATTTTCCACTCGGAACGGCGAAATAAAGTTTTAACAGCATTTTTCTCGAAGCACAGATTTTGACCACTTTCTTTTGCATGTTCGGTAGAAGTGGACCTAGGACAGCCAGAGCTGTAATTGTCTTTGCACAGTGTAGCTAAATGTTCACAAAAAACAGTGCTGAAAGCCATTTTTAATGGGCTGCTTTATTATTTTTTTTTCGTTTTAATATAAAAATTTGTTTTTGGTTACATGCAGTGAACTTGTGCTGTAATTCCAGAAGTACTTGTTCAATTTTTGATCAGCTTGCATTGTTGCACTCCTTTGGCTTTCTAGTATCCATATATATGTTAATGATTATGTAATTCCAGGTACATACATTTTTACAGTTAAAAAAAGTTTGAATTTGTTATCTTGATTTTTCTCAAAATGGCAATTTTGTACACCCTGCATGAAAATTCCTGCAATATATCACAAACTATTACAGCTAGCAGAATAACTTTTTTTGAAGCATGAAGCTATATGTTTGGAGCACAGAACCTAGGGAGCATATTTTGATTTCTCTTGATGCAAGTTTTTCAAATTAGTCTTTTGTGTGACCACACAATGGCCACATTCAGAGCTATGAAGCTTAGTGTACTGTAAAGTAAAAAATAATGACCTAATCAAAAAAGTTCTTCCTATGTTGTGTAGTTTATGCTTTTTAGTGTTGATCTCTATGCTATTTGTAAATTTCAGACTGGTGGTTATTTTTCTGTTGTGGTAGGAACAATAGATATTGTTATCCTAATTAAATAATTAACTAATAAAGCTACAGAAAAACTAACCACATTTTTAGAATCTGGAGAACAAACTGAGTAAGCATGCCAACTTTTGTCACATTTGGTTGAAAAATAAATGAGAGAGCCCTAAGACCCATGTCCCCCCTTAATAGTTGCCTTTAGTGTCCCTTCAACTGCACTGGGATTAACTTTTAGTGCAAAAGGTATTATGTGGACACTCCAGTTGCATATTTCTTGACAACTTGAGCTTCTTTGTTATGTGGGATAACATTGCCTTGTGTCTTGTATGTTTCATGTACAAGTGTACAAGTGTAAATGTGTGAGGGCAGCTAGCAAATGTAGCTCAAAAGGAGAGGAAGCATGCTAGCCATCTAATTCACGCGTGTGGTGAAACTGTTACTTCTTTTCTGGTAAATTTTCAGGCATGCCTTACAGTCCTATGCAAGCCAAGGCAAATTTTAAAACATAGTATATTTGTCTATTCATAACTTGCATCCTACGCTGTTAAAATTCTGCTACTGTTCAGATTCACTTTGAAATCATTCAATACTACTTGCTATTTGCTTCAACTTGACTTTTAACCATTAAAGTGATATTCACACAAGCCTATCTTTCAGTGTCAACACAACAGCACTGCCTCAGTTAGTTGCCTATTACTGAAATGCACACACCTGGCCTTCAATGCTAACTTCATTGCCTGCACAGGATGAGCGATAGTTATTGGCCTGAATTCTTGTCATAAATTTATTCAGAATATGCAGTGGCAATGTGTTAACCAAAATGACTGTTATGGGATTATTTGTGGCTAAAATGTGAAGTGAAAATATCAACTAATTTTCATTTCTGACATATTGGTCTTTATATACAATGGTTTTCTGAGCGAGTTGCAGCTGTTCTTCATGACAATCACTTTACCTTGAAAAAAATAAAGTGTTGTTGTTTAGGTATATTTCACTTTAAAGAGCAGTTTTAACATGTACTGCATCTATGTTATCTGAATAAATATGAAAAAAAAAATTCTTGCAGCTGTCAGATAAGGGCTAGGAAACTTTTTTTTACTTGTTTTGAGTCTTTACGTTTCTTTTTTGTGGATCACTTATGTGTTAATAACTGTATGATATTACTTGTTTGTGTAATGTAAGCCAATTGGTTGCTACATTGTTCACATTGCATTGTATTATGTTATTCTTTTACCGTTTCATTTATTGGAATTTATTTTTTTTTCTCTTGCAGGTGGCACTTGAGACAGCAATAAACATGAATGACCAGTCCACGCTAGTAGACATTCTCAATATTGTAGTTTTAAGGCCGTAAGTGAACTTTATGTATTACACTGGACTTACCTTGACTTCACTGTCTGTTGTCTTCACGTGGTTGTGTCTAACGAAAAAATTGACACCTTAATCTATTGTCTCCTCTTTCATTTATTCATATGTTGTACTACAAGGCCGATACAGAGGTTTTCGACGAGAAGGCAGAGCCTAACTTATTTCATTTACGATAGTTATAGCGCGATAGCAGTAGCAGAACGACGACAAAGGGACAAGCGGGAGACTAGCGCTAACTTCCAACTTTACCTTTGTCTAATTTACAGTGACGTTCCCACTAAGGAATCTCGAAATATAAGTGGGTGAAATATCTGTTTTAAATGCTTAGTGTATTTTATTATTAATTACAAGGTTAATTCAGTGCAATAATAATCGATTAATGCTCTTTGGTTGCAGGCAAATATGGACACTAGACATGTGCCAGACGATACTGCCTGCTATTTTCGATCTACTACAAAGTAAATACGAGTCGTAAGTAGAATTTCTTTATTCATTGATATGAGTTCTTTTGTTTTTCTTAGTAATCCTGAGACTGCTGCAGATATAATGATGAACATACTGAGCTATCTTTCTTATTCTTTCATTTTGCATGCTTCCGAGAATGTTTATCTGAGGGTTTTGGATTATTGTGCCAAATATATAAGATATAGGATATTCACGGTGTGATAATAAATGAAAGCTGTAAAGTTAAAGCGGATGTGACACTTGGTAAGAACTTGATTTCTTGACAGATTTTGATGAAAATTAGCACACCCATTGGAAACATTTCTCTTATGCTACTTGAGAATTTTCATGAATATACCTTTGCAACTTCTGATGTACAATGTAATTTTCAATTCTCAACCACCATTTGCAGCATGAAGCTACAATGAAAACCATACAGATTTGTCAGAAAAAAAAAAAGCTTCTTTGTTTACAATTCGTCCTGGTCTGGACATAACATATGGGCCAGTGCCTCACCTGGGCTGCTGCTCTAGTCTACCAGTTGAGCTAACCAGAAAGCTAGCAGCTGGTAGTGCGAGTGTTAATTAATTGACTACTTGAAGTGCGTGAACACATGAACACACATTTTCCCTGGGTAGGTGTAGTATTCACGGTATAGCACCCTGCCACTGCAGTGAAAGCACTGTTACAGAGAGGTCACTTACAGGCTTACTATACATCTATTTGTTCTTTTCAAATATTGTGAAATGTTTGATAATTTAAATTCAAATCGAAGTCAATTGCAGCATTGTAATCTTTGTTCGAATATTCGAAGTGCTCGAATATTTGCACAAGCCAAAACACAACGAGTGGATTTTAAATCAAGTTCCCTGTATAAGTGGTGTAATGGTTTAATTTAGTACTGTGGTGCTAGGACACATGCAAAAATGATGCAGAAAAAAACACAGATATGAAGAGGACAAGTGTGGATAGACTTCACAGAAAAGAAAATATTGTATTCAGATAAGGCCAGTCACTGTGATAATTTGTCAGCTTTCTTATATTCATTCTCTCATGTGCGTGATGAATAATCTTGCTTTTGATATCAATTAATCAGTGAATCATTTATATTGGATGCTAATAGTTTGGCTGTCACCATAACAGCCCATGCCTCCATCCAAAACAGCAGGTTTATGGCCAGGACAGTGCTGGCACGGGAATTATTGAGCAATTTATTGAATATTAACACAAGTTGGGCATATAAGAATTTGACACCCTACTTTATACAAGTTAAATACTCATCGTTGCCTCTTATAAGAGTTCATCGTTCACCCAGTCATGTAGATGGTAGCTTGTTGGGACTTCATTTCCCGTACTCCCTAACCCTAGTGCAGCGTAGCATACCATATCCTAGCATCTGGTTAACCACCCTGCCTTCCTTTTTTCTCTTTTCATGAAAGCTAGTGGCAATACTACGCACAGCTCCGGGAGGTTGTATCGCAAATTTGATGGTCAGTGGTGTGCCTGAAAAGGTTTTCTTGAAGTTAGGTAATTGCTTATACAGTTGTACCCCTTTATAAGAGGCATGCTCTGGACGGCGATTCTCGTCTCTTATATGAGATGTCTCTTATAAGCACGGTACCTCGTATGCATTATCCTATTAACTCGTATTTTATTGTAGGCACACTGGTGTCTCTTATGCCCATTTGTCTCTTATATCAGCGACTCTTATAAAGGGGTTCGACATAAAGGGGTTCGACAGTACTACAAAATTATCCAATGATTTGCATAATTTAAGCAAGGCACCTGATGCCGAGGGAACTATCGGAAACTATACGTTACCCTCCTCCCTATCAATGTTTCTCCTCAACTTCTTTGCAAAGAGGTCAGGTCCACTATAGACTAGTGTTAGAAGTTGAGCTTTGCCTTTCGCTTTGATCTTCTGATGCTTTGAAGATTGTGGAAGCTATTCGGCAAGTTTGCCTGGTGGAGCTTGACACCACCAGGTGTGACCAAAAAACTGGCCTCTGATTGCTCTAGGCTGCTGACACTTTTTCCTTAGTCAACTAGAGGATCTGCAAGTGTCAAAAAGTTTGCAGAATTGCCATAACTCTGACAACAATCACCAGTAAATGCCAATATGCAGAAAATTGCAGAGTCATGTTACCTGGAACTATTTCCATCAGTGGCACAGATGTGGTGCTGCTGTCGCAACAGGATTTACTCACTCCAGTCTCTTCCATTGGTGGTAAATGTAGCAGCGTGCTGGTTTCCGTGTAGGCTACTTTCTGCAAGAACATCTTTGCACTTTGCGCGCCCTGTTGTGCCCTGTTAGGGCTACGTGTCTTCTCTGTGCCGAAATGTTGTGTTCCAGGCTGTACGAGTTGCTACAGCCAAAAATCTGAAATCAAATTTGAACCACCACAACATTTTTTTTTTGCTTTTCGCAATCCTGATCAGTAAGTGACATGAGATCACACCATTCCCCATGCAGACAAGAAACTGTCCAATGCATCACATGTGTGTAATATGCACTTTCATGAGGAAGACATTCTGAAAACTTTCACTCACGTCATCACTGTTAGAAGTTATAAATCACCAGAGGAAAGTGGAGCCTCATTGGAAGATGCATCCCAAACATATTCCTGTACTTTCCCGCTTACCTGTCGAAATTCACGACAAAGAAGTGGAAGCTGCCTAATAAGGGCGGGACTCTTTCCGGTATATCATCGCCGAAAAAGGATACAGCATCTCCAAACACTGTGTCTGAAACGAGTGAAGCAAGTCGCAACATGCCCTCAATGACTGGCGTCCTTTCGGTTCAAGACAGAAAATGTTTAATTTCTATGTCTTGAAGTCTCGGAACGTACATCCCATATCACGGTATTATTGAAAGACATTGTAGTGGGTAGCTAGAAAATGTTTAATTTCTATGTCTTGAAGTCTCGGAACGTTCATCCCATATTACGATATTATTGAAAGACATGGTAGTGGATAGCTCCGAAAATTTCATTCACCTGGATTTCTTTTACGTGCATCTAAATCTAAGCAAACGGGCCTCAAGAATTTTAGCCTCCATCAAAAATGCAGCCACTGTGGCTGGGATTCGATCTTGTGGTTTGAGGTTCAGTAGTAGAGCTGAAAAGCTGAAAGCGTTCAGGTTGTCCCAATTTGTCTACAGACAGCCTAATGAGCAATTGCTGTGAAGTGCTCATGGATATCCCTAAGTGTGACAACTGCTCGAAGCTTTAGATTAAACTGTGTGAAGAGCTGGAAGTCTTCAGAAAAAGTTGAGGAGAGGCAGAAGGAGAGAAAAGACATGCTCATGAAAAGGACCACATGGGCAGCTGTTCCACAGTCTAAACTGCTAAAGAATGGGGCCTACATGAAGAAAAAGCCGACTACATAATCAGATAAATGTTTTCAGGAGGCTTTTTAAGTGTACTCCAGGCTATTCAACAAGTGGCAGTCAAATCATCGCTAAAGCAGGCTACGGCAAAAGCACTGGGAATGTGCTACAGCAGCGCTTAGACTATGAACTGCCTCCTCTTGAGAATCGCCAGCCCAAAGGCTTACCAGGTCGATGAAACTCCTTGCATTGCCAACGTGCAACAGGCTAAACCAAATACTATCAGGAATGCCATGCCAATGTAGATTCAACGCGATTGCTTTGCAAACAATCAAACCGTACTTTTAAGGAAAAGGAGAGTACAGTAACTGTGGCACGCTGCTGGTTGACAAAATCAAGCTGAGACAATCAGTCGAGTTCAACCCATTAACATACAATTTCGGCGGGTTTGTTGATTTTGCTGGCACTGCTCCTAATGAAAATAGAAAGCAAACAGATTATGCACTTGTCATGTTTGCACCACTTTTCAAATGTACAGCATCGGGTGTTGTACTCGCGGTGAGCAAATAAATGTGGCTAGGAAAAAAGTCCTGACTTTTGTGAATAGCTTGCCATTCATAAAGTCACATGCTGTAAATATTTCTGCAATATATTAAAGCAAATTTTAAAAAAATTGGCAGATCGCACATACCTTGGGAATCGTTATGCGAAGCATGCGGAGGGTAATGTATACGTGACGATTTTACCACTCTTCTATTGCAAGTAATGAGAGCCATGAAATAGAATAAAAGCTCCTTATTTCAAAGAAGTGAAAGTTAAAAATTATACCGTGGGAATGCACCACACGGTTAATTTCTTATAGCGTGATAGACAGTCGTTATGCTATCAAGCATCATTTATTGAGGACAGTCTAGAAAGCCATAGTTATACTGTCTTAGCTTTACCATTTCTACATGTTACCCAGTTTTACATTGCTACAGCAGTGCAACAAAAAAAATCTCAATAATGTAAAGCCGGCTAAGCCCTTTCTGAATGGCTGCTCCGCCCTCTTGCCACATCAACTACGCGTTTTCATCTGCCAGCAGAAGCTTGTTGCACTGCCAGCGCCACCAAACCAGAAGTTGCTCCGGTGTCACGTGATGGGTTAGGTCATGCAGGGAGTTTTGCAATTTACCTGGTTCTATTAACGTTGCCACAGGCACATGTCACTGGTTACCTTGCACAGACACGCAATGTCTCAGCTTTACATGTTGCCACTTGCTAAGTTTTCAGCCAATAATGCAGCAAGTGCAATAAATAGTCTTGCAGAAAAAGAGCCTTTGGAGCAACATTTGTCGCACACTTCAGGTAAACATACATCACACTGTAATACAGTCAGACAACACTGGCTATTTGCTAAGTTCTTATAATAGTGGTAAAGCTGAACATGGATGAGAAATCTGTTTTAACGTAATAGCCTTAAAGAGCTCATTTCACAGCAATTCTGGTGTAAGTGTCAGCGTGGACGTCGTTGGTTGCGAGGGAAAAATCGTCATCTTGTATCTGACTGAAAAATCGAGAAAGCTGCATATAAAACAAATAATGAAAAATTCTATGTCCGAGTAAGGCTCGAACCCAGGTCATTTGCGTGGCAAGCCGTGTTCTACCAAAGAGTCATGCTTCTGCTTTGAAATTCAGTGAAAATAAGCTTCTCTGCTTG